GGAAGGAGCCTGAGACCCCAGGGGGAGAAGACAGCACTGGTTTAGAGTGGCAGCTGGAAAAGAGGTTTTAGGGTGAATTTAAGTTTGCACTCAAGTTTCAGTGGAGAATTAGCCAAGCGGGGTTTTTTTTTTTTTATTTGTAACCTACTTTGCTCTGCTTACTTTCTCTTATTACTACGTAAATCCTACTGTTCCAGCTTAATAAAACCATTTTTATTTTCTATCAAACCCAGTGTAAACTATTGCTACCTGTGGGGGGCAACCAGTGTGCACATTCCCCCTTTCATTGCTAAAGGGGGCTTACCTAATTCTTTGGGGTTTGATCCCATCTAGGGAGAGCTCTCTCAGGAGGCTGGGCCCTAAACTGTACTCTTCTTGGACCTGAAGTGGTTCAGTGTCTGTACTGCTTCTCGGTGGGGGCAGAGACCTCAGCTCGGGGCATTGGTTGGGGGAGGCCCAGCAGGACCAGGTGGTGAGGAACCCCAGAAAGCAGGAAGGCGAGTGGCATTTCATGTCAGCACCCCGGAAGGCACCCCTGAGGGATCGTCTGTCCACCACAAGGTTCATCAAGTCAGGGTGGAAGTGGCTCATTCACAGCAACTGATGTGGAAACGTAGCTATTAAGAAGGGGGAAATTGCCTTTGCAATGTGTTAACCAATTAAGATTCTTAATTCAATCCTAAATTGATTATATTGAATTTGCAAATGAATTCCAGTTGAAGGAGACCTTTGTAATCAGATTTTGAAATTCTTTTGTAGAAGGATGGCTACTTTTAAATACATTAGGGTATGTCTAGACTATAGGGCAAAGTTGAATTAAGATACACAAATTCAGCTACATTAATTGAGTAGCTAAAGTTGAAATAGCTTAACTCAGCTTTTGGTGTTGTCTGCAGTACAGGATGTTGAAGGAAGAACACTATTCCTTCAACTTCCCTTACTCCTCATGAAAGCAGTGTTACCAGCATCAACAGGAGTGCCCCCCTCAGTTCGAATTAGCTGTCTTAACCACTAATTTGAATCCTAGAAGATCAACAGTGGCAGCCTTCATCTTCCTCTGCAGTGTAGATGTACCCTTATTGAATATCTAGGGAGGTTAAAGTGTCCCTCTACAGATTTATATATATTACTATTCCTGATGTCTGATTCGTGTCCATTTATGCTTTGCATAGGGACTGTCCAGTTAGACCAATATACATGACAAGGGGGCACCGCTGACACTTGATGGCATATACAGGCAGTCCCCAAATTACGTGGATCTGACTTATGTCAGATCCCTACATACGAACGGGGCTTTTCTCGCCGCGGAGTACGCGGGCAGTGGGACCGCCCAGACGCGCCGCGGTCCTGCCGCCCACGTCCTCCGTGGCAAGAAAAGCCTGGTCTGCTGGGTGGGAGGCGCAGCTAGTGCGGGACCAACCCAGCAGCACCCCAGCTGCTCTGCCCCAGGCGTCCCCAAGATGAGCTGGGGTGCTGCCGCGGTG